TGCTTACAACTCCTGCACTGTATATCAGGCCTGAACCGCATCTTCTCTCTGGATGCCCCTTTTTTTACAGTGGGAGTAGGCTGAAAATTCTTTCGCTCCACCAGGTCTCTCCTACTGGTTATTACTCCTCTTTTTCCCTTTTCTATTTCCAGCATACTTTCTTGTCTGTGTCTGTGCAGGTTTGCCTTTGAAGCTTGCAACCAATACACCCTCATTAGTATTCTCTTGCCTCAAGAGCCTTCTTTGCTCTTGAGCTTGGAGAGCATGGACAAGCTCAATCAATGTGATATGAGTCATGTCTTTAGAGTCCTCTAAAGAAGAGATTTTGGACTCAAATGTCTCCGGAAGACTCACCAAAACCTTTTCCACAACCCTACGATCAGTCAACTCCACTCCCATAAGCCTGATTTTGTTGACAACATTCATTAGTCTGTCAACATAATCCTTTACCTTTTCAGTTTCCTGCATTCTTTGCGTCTCAAATTCCCTTCTTAGATTAAGAACCTGTATATTCCTTGTTGTAGTGCTCCCCATGTACTCCTCTCTCAATTTATCCCATGCTTCTTTGGGGTTTTCGTATGCCATGATTCTTGTAAAAACAAGATACGTCACAGCAACATGTATGTGAGAAAGAGCTCAAGGAGCTTTGGCTGTTTCTTCCTCATGTAGCCTCATTTGGTTCAACGTGGGATTCTGTCCAAGAGGAGGTGGCTGCCAGTTTTCTTCCACATATTGCCACAATCCCTGTCCATGAAGAAAGGCTTTCATCTTTACTTCCCAAATGTGGTAATGTTCTCCATTGAATACCGATGGAGCCATCAGGGCAGATTGCATTGCCATGCCCCTGTTTTTCTTGTCTGTCGCAAGAAGAAAGAAGAACAACTACAGGTTTATCTTTTTGAGATGAAGAGTATTTTTGGAGGTGTGATCGAAGGTTTACAATGCTAAGTTTCTGGTTTTTTGTGGCGGCTCTGATACCATTTGTTGGTTTCAGTCGGAGAACATTAAGAGAGAGAGAGAAAAAAAAACAGAGCACCCCAAATGTTTGCAAAAAGGTTATGAACTTTTTATTAAAAAGACCATATATAACTCATATCCACTCTCTGCTAATTACACCAACTGCAGCAGAAGTTACAACTTTCAAATTCAAATTTCAACACAACATTATAGCAAAATTACTTCTAATGAACTTACTTAAATACCCTTTAAACAACAAGATAACCAAATACACAAAAACTCTCCCATGCACGATAAGTCTTTGTTGCATGAAACATTCTGCATTTTCCAAAAACACAATCCTGCAGACTTGAGCATTTGATGCATTTCCAACAAGGCATCACTGCATTAACAGAATATCCTTTGATGGTGTTATTTCTTATTTCCATTGTGTAGTTTTCTTCCTAATATGCAATGATCCATCATATCCAAACCACCTTTCTCTATAGACATTAGAAAAAAAGGTAATTGATCCTTAACATGCATCTTTTGTATGCACTTGCCGAGTACATAAATAGTTTGCTACTGCTTTCGACACCATCAAAGCAATACATGGATGGTCTGCTACTGCTTCGGACACCATCAGAGTAATCACGGTTACCAAATGAGGGTCCTCAAGTAATTCCAGACGAATTAGAACCCAAACCTGCTTGTGAGGAGTCTACAAAAAGGGCTGAACAAGAACATAATGATGATTCACCAGAATCATTCCCTAAAAGAGCTTCGAAGGATACTAGTTTTAGTCTTACAGGCAATGGAAAGTGTCACTACCTGAATGATTTAGCAGATACTGCAGGTTTGCAAGGCTCCTACTTGTTACAGACTTTTTGTGGCCTTCCATATTGTGAAAAACATTATAGTAGGATTAATTCATTTGACAGAAGTTTCTAGTCCAAGAGTAAAGCCATGAATGAAGTCATCACTACAAATTATAATAAAAAACAGTTTCATGATGTTTCGATTTGAAACGACTTGATCCTATATTTGAAATGAGAAAGATCTTTAAAAACTGTAGCCTTTAAAATTGCCATATCTTGTGTTATGTAAAACACAAAGGCACTGTATTTCGTAATGATGGGGGTTCTACTTGTTTGTCCAATATAAAGATCTAATACCGTGGGATTCTTACCCCATTATTTGAACAACAAAATCTTTTTTTTTTTTTTTTTTTTTTTTTTCCCCATGTTTTGCCGTTGGACTCTGCCACTACCAACACTTGCTATGTAACAAAAAGAGAATTTGATGTTTGTTTGGTAAACTCTTGTGATCAAGTATTAGAACTGGGATTTGACATATCTTCTTTGCAGGAGGTGGAGATACCGCGAATGAAAACTTACCTTCTGGAGAAACCAGATTTGGTACTTTCGATAAAGATAACAAGAGTAAAGAAGTTTTCAACAAGAGTTCTGCTCTGCTCAGGAGGATACCAAAGGTATAAATATTGTCATACTCTTCGACTTGTCTGAGATTCACGCCTTCAGCTGGTGGTGAAGTCATTGGTTATATGTAAAAATTGAATTGTTGCATTCAACATATGGTAAAAGTCATTGTGTGTGTAAATCTAATCATGCTTTACAGACCTACTAGAAAACTTTGAATGTAGTTTGGGCAGAGTCCAAAAAGTAAATGAAACGTTATCGATTTTTTGGCCAAATTTTTTGACATGTCGATAAAGTGAGTGTAAGTTCTATGTCAGTCTACTTTGTTATGTCTTCTTTTCTGTTTATTACTGTGTTGTACTTCATACATGAATTGGTATTACTAATGCATGTAATTGATAGGCATGGTAAACGCTGAGCGTCCAAGCATTGACACAAGTGAGCAATGACATAATGTTGCTACTGGACCCCTTCGTGCTTGTCAAGTACCTATTCTGCCGTCTCCTGCACAGCAACCAAGTGGTAGTAAAGCTCCACGTTTTGCTCAAGAAACTTTAGTTGATGATGGTAATATTTATTATTAACTAGAAATTTTGCATTCTATCTATATAACACGTATTTGTTATATATAGCTTCTAGTACAATTTAGGCCCTGTAACACTACAAAATCAATTTTCTTTTTGGTAACCTGGAGCTTTACAGTTTTAGGATGGAACCTAGTGATTCTTGTGCAATTCATTTTTGTTTTATGTTGACATTCTACAATAGAAGTTTCCATGTTTCATGTTATAATTGTAACATTTTATGTTACTAAAAGACTTTTTATAAAATTGCAGGGTAGCCTTTAATGTAGCATGAGCCATAAGAACAATTCAAATGTCTAAAATATTCATGTCTTGTGCTTGATTATGACAGGTTCAAGTGATGCAACGAAAATGAGTCGAGAAATAAATGTCGATGCTACTCAAGGGCATGGCAAGACGTCAGAGATGAGCTATGACAGGTGATTAACATATGGCACGCTTAGGTTTTCAATACTGATCCATTTATATTTGTTGGCAGATACTTTTATTTGTTATCCCTGAAGCTAAGCATGTGTATACTTCCTTGAGCAGTGAAAGTAACAAGTGTGTTCGTGTTGATCAAACAAATGAACTCAAGTTTGCGTTAAAAGATATGCAGGAATTGCACTCAGCTTTAAAGACGTGTCAGGGATTGAAGCAATTGCCAGAGCAGTGCGTACGACAATTTCTTAGTTATGGTATAATTTCTTTGGCTTCTTAGTTTAAATAACAATCATAATGCATATACTTCAATATGATAACTGTTTTTTGTTTTGATTTGTTTTTGTTTTCGTTTTATAATTTGTGATTTCTTCTTGTGTTTTTGTCCAGGGTGGAGTGAATGAAGAGATACATAGGGGTGGACTGAACAAAAACAAAAAAATCAAAAACAAAAACAAAGGAATTTGAACAAGGCTTTTTGTGGTATATATAGCAATGCCTTCTGAATATTCACCTCAGCATTCCATTGCCATATTTCTCTGTTATAGCTATTAAGTTTTCTAATTTGATCTATGAGAAACTGAGAAAGATCTTTCGATTAGATCTGATTATTGATAGTAAATCTTTTTTAGATGATGCTGTTCAAAATTTTGTAATGAAGTTTCTGATGGTTTACTTATGTGATCAAAATTGGCGTCATATCATATGCCAAATTGCATCTAATCAAGTAGTATGATAGACTATATGCAAAATTCGGTCCTTAAGATCATGGTCTGAGGGACTGATCCATGGATATGTATTGACCCTGTAACTTTAACACACCAATTACATAGCATTTCCCTGCAATCAAAACACTAATTGAAGATACTGGTTGTGGAAAGCAATTTCTAGAGCAATTTTAGCATTAACAGATAACTTGCAGCAAATCTGGTTTCAATACTCTGTTTGTCAAACTATCCATCTTCGTAACAGCAGAAACAGATACCTTCAAACTGTACTTTAAGAAACTCCCATTGTTGCTATCATAATGTAGATTTAATGACCCATTTTTAACTCATGAGGGGTTCGTTGAGCAGTTATAAGAGGTTTAAGTTTAGGGTTAGTAAGTTTCTTGTTTCTCAAAGATTGTTGGGATCAACAGAGGTTTTAGCTTTGAATTTGGGTTCTTAAAGTGACAGAAAGATTTTTAAGACAACAATAGTTTTGAATTCGGATATATAAAGCAATGTCGGGAGATTTCTGAACTAAAAAAAAAGATCAAAAGCCCTACTTGAAACTAAGCATTGAGCATTCTGAGATTTAAGTTTTAGAAAACCTAATGCAATCAACCACTGGTCGTTCATAAAATCTTATCTTGCTACTACTAAATTAAACTGCAAAATTAATGCTAAAAAAGCCACCAAAAAGTACTCAAAAAGGGAATCAGAACATAAGGATCCACAACACTACCACATGTGCTATTATATTTCATTTGAGAAACAATACAGAATGTCTATAGATATACAACAATACAAATTCAGTAAGAGTCATAAGTTGTGTATATTTTCTAGAAGAGAACAAAACTACCAAAAATTCAATACTTAAAGAAGCACATTACCTGAATAATCCTTGAAGGTTTATTAGGTTACTAAACCAATAATTATAAACTGTGACCTGCTATGCAGTAACAATCAACATTAAGCTTCTGCTTCAGCATTTTCCTTCCTCAATGCTTGAAGCCTTTCTCTCAATTTCTTACTCTCCTCGAAGTTCGCCTTGCGCTTTACCGCTTTCTGTGAAATAAACTCAAGGTTTTATCACAAAACATATATGGATTTCAACCAGACGAACAGAAACAGAAAAGTGTTATACAGTCAATATAACTCACTTCTTGTCCGAAACATCGATCAAGCTTTATTTTGAGTTCTGTACACTCGCCAAAGAATTTCCCAATAGGATGGTCAATATGACATTTCTGAAACTCCTCAATAATCTGATATTCAATGAAGACCAAAATTAAATAAACTTCTAGTTATAAATTATATCTAGTGTGCATTGAGAAACACTTCATTCAAAAGTGCTGTTTTAAACCAATTTTGCAGTATTTAAGTCATGCATTTTGAAGTGCATTTATAGAAAGCACTTTCAAGTGAAAACACCTTAAATGTTCATAAACCTGGAAGCGCTTGTCTCTATTGCACACCAAATTCTACAAAGTAAACACAAAAGGGGGACTGACCAAAGAACCGCCAAGTGTATTTGAAAGTACTTCAACAGAAAACACTTTTGAGCAAATAAACCTAAAAGCCCTTTTTATTTAAAGAGAAAACAAAACGGAATTGCCAAAACAACTCCAAAAATTTATTTCAAAGCACTTCTATTGAAACACTATTGAAAAAATAAACGCAGAAGCACTTTTTTTATTAAGATTAAAAAAAGTGAAATTGCTAAACGAACTCCCAAATCTGTTTCAAAGTACATATAAGACAGCATTTTTTAGCAAAACAGTTTACATAAAACGCCAGAAAATTCTCTACCACGAAGCGCTTCTGTCTAATACCAACCAAAACACTACAAAAAAGACACACACACACACACACACACACACACAAAAAAAAAAGAACTTTTTGAAATTGGGAAAAGCACTTTCAGATGCACCCTTTTAGCCAATCTTTACTAAGTAGGTGGCTTTGCAGAAACATCAACAATCAAAAGCACTTGCTAAACCACAAAATAAATAAAAACAAAGGCAATAAAACTCACTTCAGTACACATGGGGTGTCTATGCAACGTCAAAGGAGGATGCATATTCTTCTTTTTCTCTAATTTATATGAAAAAAAAAATTACAAAAAATTAAAAAAAAAAATCAATACAATAAAGTAACAGCAAATCAACAGAGAAAGAGGGGTGAAACGCACTGTTTTCGTCTGTTATGGCGGGTAATTTGCGGTTTCTTCTCTGTCTTACAGGTGGTGAGGCAGAGAGACAAGCTTGACAGAGTGTGAAACGAGGAAATTTAACTCCCCGGACATCCCAAGTTTGCATTTAACAAAATCACCCTGAAAATCTTTTTGATTTTTTTTAATTTAGAAAAGATACTTGGCACACTTAGGATTCATTACACATGTAAAATAGGTTAAACTGAAAAAATTTAAACATATATAGGTAAAATCATAATTAACGAAAGTTATTTAAATTTTGAAATTTGAAAATGAGCCCCCACCCTTCAAAATTGCTTAATTGAGCCATATACCCAAAAAACGACCGACGAATACTATTCCTTTCTCTGCGATTTCCGGCGACTATAGTGCCTAAATTCTAGCAAATTTTCAATCACAAAGCTTCCTTACACAAAACAATGGCTGACATTCACAAAGAGGAGGAAAACCCAACCCCACTTTGAATCCTAGACTTCGGCAGCGCCAGCAGTTCAAAGGTTGTCGAAGACGACGCTCCGGTTGATCATCCGATGAGTGAAGGTGGTCCACAGGCAGAGGAGACGACGGCGGCACAAGAACAAAGAGAAGAATCGGAAAACGGTTCTGAAGAAGAGGACACCAACGAGAATGCAGGCGAGGAGGAGGACGCTGGTGAAGAAATGGTACGTTTTTTACTCGTTTTTTTCAATTGGATGAGAAAATGGATTGATTTGTGCGAATTTGGGGGAGATGTGGTTGCGGCGTTTTGTCGAGCAGTCAGCGGGTATTGGTGGAGTGGCTTTGTTTGGGTTCTAGAGGATTGGGGGAAGGCAAGGGAGGCCGTAAGAAGGTTGTTTCAAGGAGTTTGGTGGGCTGGGGATGGCAGGAGGTGGTCGAATTTCGTGGGCTGCAGGGTTGGCCTGCATATTGGCAAGGCTGGCCATGCACAGCACGCGTAGCGTTGCGCACGTTGTGCGAGGCCAGCCTTACCAATATGGGCTTTCATGATTGTTGGCTATGATTGTACCAAACAATCATGCAAGCCCTACAGTAAGGCTGTAGGGGTTGCATGATTGTTTGCAGGGCTAGCTATGATTGTTGTGTTAGAAGTGTTAAATTGCAGGGTTGGCTATGATGCATTAGATTTTTCGTTGCTTTATTATATAACGGGCAAATTACTTTCTTTGTTATATTTTGATTGAATGTCAAAACATTAGATGATTGAAGGACAAATATTAAATCTCATTATACGATTAGGCAGCTTATTATTAGAATAAGGTCACTACTTTTAGGTTGGCTCACCATCACTACTCAACTTTATACCATAATTTCTAAATCAAACAGAACCAAGGAAACCACAAAAAACCTTTCTTTAATTTTGGACTCAGGATAAAATATTTATTCTCCTTTTCCCATCATTTATACAAAGGGTTTAAGCTTTGGTTAGGTTTGGTGAAAAAAGATTAGAAAAAAATTACAAAGTAAATTTCTATTTAATAATATAAGGCTTAAAAGAGTTTCACAGGAGTTTGAATAACATCACTCAAAAGCTTTCTGAATTGTTTATGTGATGATGGGCTCATCAGCCCATTACATTCTCTTGTAATCTTGTTAGAGGTAATATTATTAAGTGGAAGACTAAGTTTGCATGCTTGCTTTTCAATTGATGCTTCAGTTGAGTTTTAGTTTAATGATGTTTTAGATGTGTTTTGAGTTGTTAACTGTTGTGATGGCAGGATTAGTAATGAGTTGTGCAGTATGGTTTTTATGTTCATTTACATTGTATGATGCTCCCTTTTTTTATCTCATACACTTGAAAAGATTAGTTGAAAAGTTCATTGTATGATAGTTTTTCTTTGTTTACAAAGTATGTTGGCAGCCTATTAGTTGTTTTGGTTTCTATTTTTTTTTTTTTTTTTTTTTTTGCTGTATTTGTTTATATCGATAGTGTAGATTTTCCGAAGCGTAAACTATAAGACTATGGGTTGGAGATTGTAAGCGATATGGTACCGTGCTTCCCTGTAAGGGTGACAGTTAGTCGAGTTGGCAAGTTTTTTACAGGAATAATGGATATTTTATGGGAACAAAAGAAGGATTTAAACCGATTCAAAGAGGTTGTTATAATACCTTCTTTTCTACCAGTATACTTAGAAAATCACTATGTAAAATATACATTCTTAATATATGAAAGGTAGTTGGGCCCAAAATTTTTCTTTACTTAACATATATATTATTCTGTACATAGCAAAATCACATATACAAAAGCTTTTACAACGGTGGACAGTAATGTCATTTCTCTCCGCTTGTCGACGTCCATCCGACCGCTTCTCACCTATTTCCTGTAAAACATGGAAAAACAACGAGGTGAGCACAAAAATGCTTAGTAAGTAAATCCTCTACTCCTTTATCCTTACGACTTATACTTTGGTTCTTTCCTTACTCTATTCTTTTCTTCTTCATTCTTTCCTTGTTCTTTCTCTTTTTCTAGTTCTCACTGTTCTTTCCTTTCTTTCTAATTCTCTCTGTTCTTTCTTTCTATTATTTCTTTCTTTCTATTGTCACTAACCATGATGAAAATCATGGTAACATGCATGAATGAAATGCATATGCAGTAATGCATAGACATGAGTTTTCTTTCTTCTTTCTATTTCTTATTCTGTTTCTTTTCTTGCTTGCTCAAGCTCTTCTTTTCTTTTCTTTTCTTTTCTTGCTTGCTCAAGCTTTCTCATTCCTTCTCATTTTCATTCTTATTCTTATTCTTATTCTTAGTCTTTGCTGATCGGACTCGGTTGATGCATGGATTCGAAACCCTGGCCATGTGAGTGAATACAATCCTCATCTACATGCACTCTTGCGGACTGTACAAATTCTTTCTTCTTCTTAGGCCACTCAATTAAGGTGGCATGCATGTAGGAAATTTTTCTTGGTACAACCCTCATCCACATACACTCTTACGGGCCGTACAAATTCTTCTTCTTCTTAGGCCACTCAATTAAGGTGGCATGTATGTGGGCATTTTTCTTCTTATCACCCACAGGTTCCCCATCGTAACAACCTATTCTTTTCTCTTCTTTAGCACTTTTCTTTCTTGAATTCTTCAGTACTTTCCTTTCTTTCTCTTTATTCTTAAAAATTCTTTATTGTTTCTTTAAATTCTTATGCACATGCAAATATATGCATGTGGATGGCTCATGCTTATGCTTCTTTCTTAGGTGCAATTATGCAATGTTGCACAAAAGTAAGTTTCCCTATTCATGCATATGCTTCTCTTAGGTATTTCATCAAACAACAAGCATGCATACTTAAATTCTACTTTAATTATACTTCTCCTTCTTTCTTAAACCATCCATAACTAGAGTAAAACTCCCTTAAATCATCATAAATCCTAGCCAAGAAAATACACTTCATAAATGCTCTTAAACTCTTTCTAAATTCAACCCAACTTCTATAAAATTCTATCAACTCAACCAACCCTTCTCATGTAGAAAACCCATTCATGGATCATCATCAAACTCAATAACAAGTTTCATACACAAATCTCAGGCATATGAACTTCATATACAATTCATATAAAACAATCTCTATGCTTTACTTGCTCAAACAAGGGTTAGGGTTGGATTTACTTACCTTTTTCTTGAGTACTGTCACAAAAGCTCACTATCTTCGTTAGACTTCTTCTCTTTCTCAAACCCTAAGCATAAACTTTATAAGAATTCAACACTTACTCAAATTAATCTCATAACTAGAGCAAGAATCCTTACCTCTTGATGCTTAGGATCAAATCCTTGTCAAAATCCAACCAAAAGCCCTCAATTTCCTTAGCAAAATGGATTTCTGCTTGTGAGTCAGACAAATAGCTTTCTTACTCAATGCTCGGTTACTACATTAGCTTTTCGCAGCTGATACTTAATATCACACTCATAATCTTTAACCACTCTAACCATTTTCTCTGTCTCATATTCAGCTCCCTTTGTGTAAAGAAATACTTCAAACTCTTATGGTCGGTGTGATATTACTCTTGGCACCATAAAGGTAATGCCTCCAAATCTTTAATGCAAAGACCATAGCTACTTGATAATCCGAGAATTATACTGTTTTAATTAGCTTTTGGCCGATTTTAGATACTTCTTAGTTCATTTATGCCTGAATTGCTACTTAATTCTATACATTTTGTGTTGCGGCCAAAGACTTTTGAGAAAATAATGAGCGAATTGGAGTTTCTGGACCCAGGTAAGCAATCTCAGAATTTGGGAGAGTTCTGAGCAAAGTGAAGCACTATGAGCTTGTTCCCATGGAGAGCATCGAAGATCGAAGATTTAAGCAAAGAAGCAAGCGGAGGGAATTCTGTAATTTTGAATTCTCATGAAGGTTCGCCGCAGCGAAGTCTATTCTTTGCCGCAGCAAAAGTTTAAGCACGAGAGTCCTTTTTACCTTGTCACCGTGGCGAAATTCTTTCTTCGCCGCAGCAAAGTATGCAATTTTAGTTTCCCAAAACGCAGTTTTATTTTGGAATATCTTAGGTCTTTTGGGTGAGCTATTTAGGAAAACCTTACCATTTTGAGAGGGCTTCGTGGATGTATCTAGTTTTCGTCTTATTTTCATGATTTAGAATAGATTTGACATTTTTTGTGGAGAAAGGGAGAAGATTCGAGAGTCAACCTTGTGGATTCTTCAACTAGGGGAATATCTTCTCTTTTGTCTCATGTCAATATGTTGACTGCTATGTTTAATGTTTTTCTTGCTATTGTGTTGATTTAGTTATGAACTAACCTATTTTGTGTTAGGTTTTGATGTAACTCGGATTTCTATGTGTTAAGCAATTTATTATTGTTATTTTCATATCTATTGCAGAGATTGTGTGGTTATTCTGTTTTTATTGATTTTATTTG